TTTAATTTTATATGGTCCTCTTTTGGTTCGTGATTTTTTAAAATTTATATTAGTCATTTTGGATTTGATTGTATTCTTTTCTTATTTTGATAGCTTTGGTTGCAATTATTATTTTTAGGGGTATTTTAGGTAGCTTTTAGGGTAGAATAGTAAAAAAATGGTAATTTAGAAAGGTTATTGCCAAATTTTCAATAATTTCCCCATTCAGTTCTTACCCGGTTAATTATTGGAAGAAGTAAAATAAAGAGATTGTCAAAGTGTGTTAAAAACTCTATTTTTCACTCTATTGTCAAATTTAAACATGTCTTTTACTGTTGTAAGAATCTGTCGCGATCCATACATAGTTCGAACTTCGACTTCAAGATGAGTAATCTCAGCGAATTAGATTAAGGCGATTAGTTAAGCTGCACTTAATTGTTGAACTTAAAAAGGCCTTTTCTAGCGGGGTTTCTTGGATTTCAAGGATTCAAGATATTCCAATTCGCCAAGTACAGCAGGCAAAAGCATGGCATTTGATACCCAAAATTCGTTGCTTCCATCTCCAATTCCGTTGCTGTTCAATCTCTTCTCAGCAGTAATTTTGATCGGTATGCTCTCTAAATTTGTTAAATTTCCACCCTTCAAATATTATGTATTACCCATCTGTGAATTCTATTTGATTTATTGCTTCGGTGAGCCGTGGTGATTCCTTTCTTCTAAAATCTTTAATTAGATCTATATTATAAATTTTGAAACTAGATGCAGAAATTTTCAATAATTGATTAATTCCCACGATTGCGTGTTTAATATCAGTCATCTGTGTTGTAAATTGAAGCCCATTTGATTTTTTCCCTGTTAGTTACTGTAACTTATTTCTCGAATATTAAGGACTCTTTTGAAAGTTGCCTTGCTCAATTGATTTTTTTTTAAATTTAGCCTATGCTTGACACCAATTTTGAAAAATAATTTTTGGAATAGTGATTAATGGAAGATTGTGTGGTTAAAAAGTAAGGAGAATTTTTGGGTTTATGTGTAATATTATTTTATTAATAGAATGTGTGGTTGAAATGAAGAAAGGGAAATAGAATGAGAAAAAAATGAGTGTCAAACAGTGGCTTAATACAACAAAAGGTCTTGAAAATCTATTATGGGTATCTTATGAAATTGTTATGCATCCAAATGATACGCAGGATATATATTGCTATATCGTTCATAGCATATTTGTTATGACAAATTCTATTAGGTACATATGCAGAAACCAAACGAATTGGTAAAAGACCTAAATACTTCGACCGGTGGTGGAGGGAGCAGGCAATTATCGAGGCAAAGGACTAAAGAAGGTGCATATACTAAAAAGAAATCCAAGTCCTTTTTGCCACCCATTGAGACTCATTGGCATATACCATCACCCGAAGAAAAAATGGGATCAAATCTTAGCTTCAAGAAAATGCTGTCATACCCATTCACATTTCGGCAATCTTTCAAGAGGATTCAAAGGAGCCAAAGTACGAAAATGGTTCTTGAAGGACCTCATAATCCAAAAGACCAACAAATTGTTGATAAATTTCGTGAATTGCTTTTTGTTGAGGGTCAGTTACAAGTGAAGCACTTCGATTATCATACTCTTTTAAGGTAGAGTTATATATTTTCTAATAATGTGACTGGACTTGCACTGTTCTCATATGGTGACTTGTCACAATTAGTATTGTCTCTCATGAAGTGTATTCGAGCCTTCTACTTTATATATTTTGTTTGATGAGGATGTTGTATGAAGGTGTTCTTTATGATTACAGATTCCTTAGAATGAGGGATTTTGATCTAATGAAAGCAAAAGATATGTTTTTGCAATATCTCAAGTGGAGAGAGGAATTTCACGTTGATGCAATAGCCAAGGTGAAATTCGAACTTCCTGGATGCAATAAGTATGGCATCTTATTTTAGATATTGCTAGCTCTGTGTATTAGATGACATATAATTATTTGATATTGTAAACTTTAGAACTAGTTTAACTCATGAGTTACTAACCGGAATGAAACGTGTGTATATTCTATTATGACTATACCTGTAGTGATGTTTCGATACATTAAATAAGAATGATAAACACATTGATTTTAAACATCTCGGTTCTCAGATTTCTACTTACTGTCATTCTGCTTCTTTGTTTCTTTTCCTTTCTGACTACACACTTATTCTTTGCTTCCACTTGTTTCCAGTTTTGCCTCACTGTTTCCAATCATGCATAAAAAGTTACTTTCTACTGTTCGTGAGAAATCCCGCCAGCGTACGAAATCGTTGACAAGTAATAGAATTGATGAGTTGAGAGTATCATCCAACAAAGAATAAATTCAATTCAAGTGTACTAGTTTCATAAGGAATTCAAATTATGTAAACAAAAGAGATTTGATTTTTATGATTATCCTAAATTAATCTAAGAAATATGTAAAATTAGGATTTTTATCAAATTATGGATGATTGTATTAGATTTCTAATCCGTCCATTGCTATTTAATTCAATTCTTGATTTGTAATCTAGTTGTGTTCATGCGTTCTTGACAATCGATAAAATTATGATATATAATTTTCTTTTTGAAGACAAATTAAATATATCATAATTAGGATCCGAATCTATTTCTAGTCTGAATTCGAATGCATTAAAATTTAGATAATCTATATGATTGCACATGTAATAAATGTTATTCTTAGCATCTATTGCACATATGTTGATTTTATCACATTCTAAACTTATTGTCAGTCTCTTAATACTACAAGCAACCAATAATCTAATTGGTGGCCAATCAATTAAAAAATGTAATGGGTATGCAAAATTAATCAAGAAATACAAAAAAAGAAATACTAAACTACTAGTCTTGAATTAGAAATAAATAATAAATAGAGTTCATTTTCATTCAATACAAAAGCGGATCTAGCCTAGCATATTAATATATAAATTACAATAAGAATAATAGAAAAATATCTCCCGAATCATGAAATAATTCAAAAGATGTTGACCTTCAAGCCCAATATTGAATTTTTCAAAATCTTGATCTAATTGGCTTCAATTTCTTGCTAGGGTTTGATCTCCTATCTTAAAATATAGTAATTGGCCCATTGCAAGATTGGTTTTTTTTTTTTTTTTTGTAACCCTTGTTCTCTATTTATAAGAGTCGAAAAATAGGTCAAAATTGCGTCCAATTTATATTCCAAAAGAGTTTAAATCATGAAAGAAAACTGATGATTCATCTGCGAAAATAGCCCGTGTGCACAGGCATAACCACCGCGCGTGTGCCGTTGAGTAGTTTTGTTCTCGGTAATTAAAATTTCAATCTTACGCGCACCTAAAATGGCCCACGCGCTCGCAGAGGTTCGCAGAGTTCGTTTCTGAGCAATTTTTGATATTTTGGTCATAACTTTCTCTCCAAATATCCGATTGAGGTGATTCAAAGTGCGTTGGAAAGATGACTCAAAGGGCTACAATTTTTAGAATATGATTTCTCCAATTCAAGCGTTTGCTATCTGAAAAATGGGTCTCAAGTTGAGGTTAAAAATTCGGAGTATAACTTTTTTGGCTGTAAATTGATTTGTGAAAATATTTCAGCTATATTTCACTCCTTTAACCTCCAATTGCATATAATTGATCATATTTGATCTTTAATCATCATTTTATAGTCCGAATCAACTATTGGATGTTTACACTTTGGTTTCCAAATTTTGGATTTCTTTCGTTTTTGCCCTTTTCGTTCATTTCTTTCAATTCCACCAATCTGCATTGAGTTCAACCTACAATATATACTTTAATTTAATGACTTAGATAAGTGTACAAAATACACTTATCATCTACCCTTGTATCAAACAATTTTTTGTAATACTTACCACAATGCATCAAATAGTATCAACAATTTTTTCTTGAAAGTTATCTGTTGGTTGTTAGCAAATAGAAGTGATATTAATCTATTATTAGTGTAAACGGCAGTGTGCTACCACAATGGATACTGCATGAAAGTTGGATGTGCACTTCATTTGCACAGGGTATAAAGAAGCAAATGGTATATTGACAGAACATTTTCTTACATACTAATATTTACTAGGGTGCCTAACAAACATTCACGAAACTCATTATACTAGTTTACGTTATCCATTTAAACTTTTTATTTGTTTTGGCAAAAATGACTTGATAGTTGTGTATTCAATATATGTCTTAGAGCATGTTTGGGAGTGGTTAAAATCCAATTAAAATTGAAAATATAGCCGTTATTGGGTCCCAGTCGTCTAATAAAAGTCAACAATAACGGCTAGTTTTTCAATTTTAATTTGATTTTAATCTCTTCCGAACACGCCCTTAGTCTCTTGCTTGCTTGTATAAGTTTTCTTATAGGGATCAATTGTTCAAACTTGTCTAAATTTAAGAGATTTAGCCTGCTGCTGCATTGATATGCAGATAACTTCTTCTCCATCTCCGCTTGAATGCGTCCAGTTTAACTTAAGTTAAAATTGACATTTGCTCTCCAAAATATTTTGGCTTATGCGGTTGATGAATGTGTCAGGAATTTAAATTTGAAGAGTACCCAGAAGTCAAGAAGTGTTATCCTCATGGATTTCACGGAGTTGATAGATATGGTAGGCCAGTTTACATTGAAAGGATAGGAATGATTGATCTCGATACTTTTCTTCAAGTTACTTCTATTGAGAGATTTTTGAAGCATCACGTTTCTGAACAAGAGAAGACTCTGAATTGGAGATATCCAGCATGTTCACTTGCTGCAAAGAAACACATAGCTTCCACCACGAGCATCTTGGATGTGAAGGATGTGGTATGAATTCTGTCTTTTTTCTCCATCATTCATTTATTTGTGTTATAGATTGTAATTAGTTGGCTTAATTCTATATTCCTTATTTACATACTTTCCTAAGATAG